CCGAGGTGGATGAAATGAGGACCCAGACTGTGGGGGTAATATATGCTGACTCTGTAAACCGCTTAGAGAGGGCTGAAAGCCCTATGAAGCGGTATGTAAGTCTAACTAATAAATAAATAAATATAAATAACTTTGGAATTTTTCTTTGGCACTTCTGTTTGGCTTCGTTTTTCTCCTTCCTCTTCTTTCTTTTATTTTTTTTACGAATTGTCTTAAATTCTTGGGGAGGGAGGTAATCGTCTTAAATTTGGGGGTTTCTTTCTTTCACATAAACGTGAGCATTCTAATACAAAGCCTGTTCAAAGCATTCGCCTTTAGTTGTCCTATAAAACGATCATCGTTAAGGGGGGGGGAAATCCTGTACAGTTTCTAATGACTCCAAATTGGTGCCCACACTGCAGGCTTCCTGTGATGTAATGGTTTTTTTTTTTTAAATTAAAAACCCTGGAAGTTCTGTGAGAAAGGTCAGATAAGGAATTATCAGTAACTTTCCAAGATTCCTCCCAAGTAACCATGACATTCCGTGTACAATTTAAAAAAAAAAAATCCAAGTTGATAATAGGATTGAACTAAAACTTTTGTAAAAACTGCTACATTCCTCCAGACTAGGATTCATTATTCCCACTTTGAAACAGGAATAGAATATAGAGCAACAGAGTTGGAAGGGACCTTGGAAGGCTTCTGTGCTGATTCTAGTTCAATTTTAAAACAGTACGGGGTGACGGATACTTAACTATGGCTTTCTTGAAATTTGTTTTCCTTAAAAAAAAAGTTTTCAAAATACCAGACAAAAGGCTAAAACTATGTGTCATCCTTCCTGTCCAAATTACTTTAGAAATGATGCATGTCTCTGCTAGTGTAATTCCTAAAGCTCACAGAGGAAACACATTGTGCATGAGTAACTAGAGCTGTCAAAAAAAGCATAAACTTTTTTTTAAAAGGGTATCGCGCCCTTGATGAAACCATGTCCACTGTTACATTAAGCATTCCTTCCTTTAAAATAGTCTGGTGATTAAAACCACAATTTATCGTCAGTTAATGCAGTGTCAAGTTAGGAGGGCTATTTCCGATTGGGTCAAGCTAATAAATTATTTCAAGACTTGGTAATCTTTTTATTTCCACCTAAATGGATGCAACACCACCTTAAATTTCTCTGGGACTATACATCTTTATAAACCTTTACAAATACATTATAATCACGATGAATTTCCCATGTTAAAAAAACGAGTGTACCTTACTAATGAGTCATCAGTTGCAACAATAAAGAGAGTGATCATTCTGCGGTAATTGTAACGTACGTAAACACAGTAATATAAAGCTAAGGAATGCCTTGTAAATACCTTTCCAAAATCACGAACATCAAACAAGTCAAATGCTTCAAAGAGTTCACTCTTCTTCATTCCAAATATTTCACAGCAGGCAGAAAGGAATGTTCTTATATTCTTCAAGCACAGAAACTGAAGAGGAAAAAAGAGAATACTTTTAGTAAATTATCTAATTATCAGCAAGGATATGCAATTTCATTCAAAGGCATGTGCCTCTCGGGGACTCTCCCCGATTATTATAATTCCCTAGACTCTTTATAAAAGCTACACCATAAAACCTTTGTGTGTATGTAGATAGATGGATAGATAGATGGATGGATTGATGGATGGATGGATGGATGGATGGAGAGAGAGAGAGAGAAAGAAAGAAAGAGAAAGAGAAAGAAAGAAAGAAAGAAAGAAAGAAAGAAAGAAAGAAAGAAAGAAAGACAGAGAGACAGACAGACAGACAGACAGACAGACAGACANACCCAGACTGTGGGGACGATATGCTGACTCTGTAAACTGCTTAGAGAGGGCTGAAAGCCCTATGAAGCGGTATATAAGTCTAACTGCTATTGCTAAGTCCACAAGTCTTAAAGTTGCCAAGGTTGGAGACCACTGATTTAGTGCATAGTGTGAATCAAAGCATTAACTTATTTGACTGCTTTTTATATAAAAAGTAACATTAGAAACTCCCAACTCTTCAAAAGGAAGGGCAGGGCGCAAACTTAATAAATGCAAATAAATATTAGTATGGAATTACCATTTAAGAAATTCATAGTGAATCTGACTACACTGAAATAAATTCAAAATGAACCTAGAACCTTCAATGCTTATCTGGAGCAGTTGGATTCTTATCACCTTGGTAGAGCTTTAATTAGTTTAAATCAGGGAGAAACAATAAGAAAAAAAAAGAGAGAAAATCAAACAAAAAGCAGAGACATCAGGATTGACTCACACAGAACTTAAAAATAGAATCTCCATTTGTTTGGCCTTCAAGTATCTTCTATAAAACATTTACCAAGTCACAGCTGACATATTGATTAGAATTCTCTGATGGTGTTGATTAGAATTCTCTGGTGGTGCTGCTATATAATTGAAATGTCTGGCACATTTTCCCCAAAAAATCTATGAAGTATACATGAGTATGTTTGGGGCATCACAAGTTAGAAAAAAAATACACCTCATCTACATCCATGAAATAATGGGGGGTGGGATTCCACTTCTAAATCTACAGTCTTGGAATTCCCAGGTAAACCTCTCAGTCCCAATGTTAGATGGGATTGATCCTGCTTACCTTTGGAATAGGCAGGTATTCCCACCTTCTAAACTCTGGGGAATTTATGGGGGATATGAATATTTATTAAACCACTTGAAGCAGCAGGGGAAAAATTACCTAATCCCCCCGGAGAAATTCTAAGATGAAGTTCATAAAATCGGTTCCACCACAAAATCGCGGAGGACAAAATCGCGCTCGACGAAAGCGCGCATTTGACGTCATCACAGCGCGACGAAAACATCNCTTATTTTGCAAGTGGGAAAATGCTGTCACTTTAAATCGGAACTGAGCATGCCTGGCTGTGGAATTCTGGGAGTTGAAGTCCACAAGTCTAAAAAAATTGCTGCCACCAGCCATAAAGCTCACCGCACGTCACTGTATCCCACGGTCATGTGATCACCTTTTACAACCTTCTGACAAGCAAAAATTAATAGGGAAGCCAGATTCATTTAACAAGTGTTACTAACAACTATGGTGATTCACTTAACAAGTGTTGCAAGAAAAGTTGTAAAATGGGGCAACATTTGCTTAACAACTGTCTTACTTAGCAATGGAAATTTTGAGCACATTCGTGGTCATAAATCAACTACTTAATAATTAATAAATGTAAATTTCTCTGTCAATGATACTCTTGTTGCTAGCACCTCGTTGAACCTGTCTGCATTCAAAAGCAAAGCAGGGATGTGTCTAGTTAATACTTGGGCAGGTGACCACCTGAATAAGGTGGATCAATCTGATTATTCAGATTCAGAACCTGACCAGATAGAGAATTTAGCCTACATTGCAGGATTAATAAAAACGAAAGAAAAATGACGCCTGCAGGCCAGGCCAGTTAACCAAGAGCTTGTTAGGCAAGGCAACATACTGCAAATTATAAAGGTAAAATAATTGAAAGTCAAGAAGTACTTGAAAGAAAGAAGAATAATTCAGCAAATCAGTCAAGCTGGCGGTCAGAGGTATATAAAAAGGGACATCTTTCTGACTTGCTCTTTGTGGGAAATAGCGTTTTACCTTCTTTCTTGAATTTCTGCGCATGGCTCGAATTATCTGGCTGAACTGCAGATCAGAAACTAATTACTTCTGGATGTCCTTATCTCTTTTGGTTTGAAAAGTAAGCATTTGTTCCTGTGTTCTTTCATATGATTTAAGTGGGATTTCTACCCACCCACCGCCAAACTTGTTTTTGGTTCATTTCTGTTGAAGATTTATAAATGCAGTAGAGATCCTGAAGCGTGTATATAATTGGCACCACAAAATACCAGGATTCTACACGAGGCGGAAATGTCAAAACCACTCGAGACAAACCTAAGAAACCATTTCTGTTGTGGTGCTATGGAAACTGAACAATGGTGTCCATGCAGTCACCAAGAGATAAGCTTTATCTGAAGTGGTCTTTAAATCAAGATATGCTACTTAGCACCAGATGTGAGAATAAAATTTTTCTACTACCAATTCTATGAGCGTGACTTGGTGGGCATGGCATAGCTTGGTGGACATGGCAGGGAAAGGATACTGTAAAATCTCCACTCCCTCACCCCTCCAAGGGAAGGTTACTGAAAAATCCCCATTTCCTCCCGATCAGCTGAGACTCTGGAGGCAGAGAATAGATGGGGGCGGGGCCAGCCAGAGGTGGTATCTACCAGTTCTCCGAACTACTCAAAAATTCTGCTACCAGTTCTCCAGAACTGGTCAGAACCTGCTGAATACCATCTCTGGTTAGTACCCAAACCATTCATTCCATGTCTATACTTCTCTCTTTTAAGAAGAGATACTGCATACATAGATACAAGGGGTGATGGGGGGGGGGAGTAGATCATAATCTCATAATTTCATAAAGTTCTGCCATGTGAAACATATTCTGGAAAATTAAACTAAATTCTAGCAATGCCATTCTATTCATTGCCTAGTTAAAAATGCATTTAAAAAAATACTGCTTTAAATTTAATATGAATATCCACTGGTATGATAAATGTTTTAGGATAAAAAGCAAGAATCATGGGTAATAGAAAGCATCTTTTGAAGAAGTGAGGATTAACCGTCTTCCATCAGTGCGGAAGGTATGTAGAAGACCATAGATTTGATGGTTATCCACTCTGGCATTCCACTGTGCAAAACTGATGTGAGAAATGCAAAGAGACCATTATAGGAAGGAGAGAGTGAAAACTGGACTCTGAACTCTCCAGCCAGAATTCCTTGATCAACAAAGTCCATATCACGTTCCTTCTGCAGGCATGAATGGGGCAGCCCAATTCTATACCGGTAATATGGCTTTCGGCACCTGAGCTAAGATGTAAAAAAAAAAAAATGCAAGTAATAACAACAATCAAACACTAATGTACACTAGGCAGACACCATAATCAAGGAAGTGGTACCTCTAGACTGGACTACTGCAACGTGCTCTACATGGGGCAGCCCTTGAAGAGCATTCGGCGACTCCAGCTTGTCCAGAATGCAGCCGCATCCACNTAACTAAAGAAATCCAGGGAAAGGAAGAATCAGAATTCTACCAGATATGGGATAAATGGTATAGGTAGATGGAAGAAAGAAACAAGAAATAATTAAAATATGTTAGAGATTTCTATGGGGATGATAGCGAAGTTGGAAAGTGGAGCTTAAACACATGCCGTTAATGCCAGGAAAAATGAAAAAAAAAAGATGTTTTACATGTGGAAAAATTGTAAGGCTGCAGGTGTGAGTAGTATAACTGAAGAAATGTTAAAATATACATGTGACTATGTGATTTGTTTATGTATGAAGACTGGATCTGATGTATGGAGGAATAGTAACAGCATTCATAAACAGAATGCCAAGAAAAATGATTGTTAAGTCTGATAACTTGTTAAGTCTGCTAGTTTGTTAAGTCTGGCTGGGAAAATGTTTGGCAGAATTCCGAACAACAATGAATAAACTTTGGGAAATATAGTATAGTATAGGCTGATAGGCTGCAGGAGATATGCAGACCAAATGTTTGCTCTTCTGCAAATCCCTGAGAAATGTATGAATATGAGAAGGAAACCTTATTGTAAATTTAATTCATTAAAGATAATGCCTGATAAAGTGAACAGTCATAAATTTTCAAATGCACTAATATGTTGCGGGTTGTTGCTGAATATGAGTAGTGAATAATGGAATAGAGGATAATTGTAAGGATGAGTATATATGGCAGAAGGGAAAATAATTGAATTAGGAGTAATAATATTACATTTATTTAATAAAAGAGTTTACATTAAATCAAATTTAATAGTCCTCCTCCTCCTCCAACTTACACACACATCAGTGGTGGGTTTCAAATTTTTTTAGAACCTCTTCTGTAGGTGTGGCCTGCTTTGTGGGAGTGGCTTGCCAGCCCTGTGACCGGGTGGGAGTGGCTTGCCAAACATGTGACTGGGTGGGAGTGGCTTGCCAGACATGTGACTGGGTGGGCCTGAGCAACTTGTAAAATGTGGTAAAATTCACTTAACAACGCTCTTGCTTAGCAACCAAAATGTTGGCTCAGAAACTCTGGCATTTGAAGCANCAACTCCCAGAATTCCCCAGCCAGCATTCGCTGGCTGGGGAATTCTGGGAGTTGAAGTCCGGACATCTTCAAGTTGCCAAGGTTGAGAAAGACTGGCCAAAAACAACCTATTGCTATTGCTATCCCAAGTGGGAATACAGTAGTAATTTCCAGAATTAGTCAAACTGTTATTCTAATATATTTGGAGGATTCCAGATGGTGATGAAGTGAAGAATATAGAACAATGGAAATTCAATATAGTAAAACACTGAAAAATACTGTAAAACAGAAATATGGAATTAATCGGAAACGTTTGAATGTATTGTCTAACATTAATATATCAGAGCCCATCAGCAAAAGATTAAAAACTGTTTA